GGCTCCGGCTGGGGTGCAGGCTCTGGGGTGGGGCCGGGGATGAAGGGTTTGGGGTGCAGGAGGGGGCTCCGGGTTGGGACTGAGGGGTTCAAAGTGTGGGAGGGAGGGAGGGCTCTGGCTGGGAGTGTGGACTCTGGGGTGGGGCCAGGGATGAGGGGTTTGGGGTACAGGAGGGGGCTCTGGGGTGGGGCAGGGGGTTGGGGCATGGGAGGAGGGTTCCAGCTGGGGGTGTGGGCTCTGTGTGGGGCCAGAAATGTTGCGTTCAGGGTGTGTAAGAGGGCTCCAGGGTGGGGCTGGGGATGAGGGGGGTTGGGGTGCAGGAGGGGACTCAGGGCTGGGGCAGGGTGTTGCGGGGTGTGGGCTTCGGGAGGGAGTTTGGGTGTGGGAGGGGACTCCAGGTTGGGGCAGGGGGTTGGGGTGCAGGACGGGGTGCGGGGTCCCGGCGGTGCTTACGACAGCTCCCAGGAAGCGTCTGCCTGGTCCCTGCTGCTCCTAGGGAGCGGTGCTTGCAGGCGAGGGCAGCACGCGCCTCCCTGGTCACCCATGCACCTAGCGGCTGCAAGGAACTGGCAGCCACCTCCAGGAACTAGGGCAATTAGGGAGCCTGCCTTAGGCCTGGGCCCCCGCTGCACCACAGACCGGACTTTTAATGGCCTGTTTGGCAGTGCCGATTGGAGCCACCAGGTTCCCTTTCAGACTGGGCGTTCCGGTCGAAAACTGGACGCCTGGCAACCCTACTCATTACACAGAGGCGAAGGAGACTGGCCTGGCACACAGCTCTCTTCAACAGCTAGATCCCCATGAATTAACCACCACACCCTTGATCAAACTCCATAATGTCCAGTGACAAACCTGTTAACGTGCCGCACTCCATGCAGACAGCTAACGCAGCCTTTGGGGATAACAGAGCCAACCAAGACGGTCACTAAACAACCTTTCCAGAGGATGCTGTCAGCATGGGGGGCGGATATAATAGGCCAGGCTTTGCGTTTCGCTGGCGCTGCCACCGACTTGCTGCAGGACAACTGGGCCGCAGTGGCCCCCCCTTCTCCAAGACCCCCACCGCCTCCTCCTCTCCACCCCCACCCCCAAGGTCCCTGCTGCTCCCCGCGTCCCTCCTCCTTGGGACGAGGGAGTGAGGAGCAACGCGGAGAGCCAGCGGAGTGAGGAGGCTTGGTCGGGCACTACTGGGGCTGGCAGCTCGGCAGAGGTAGGTGGCCTTCAGGGTCGGGAGGAGCTGGCGCTTGGGGAGGCTGCCAGCGGCTCTTGGCCCAGCCTGACTCTCGCAGGTCGGAGGACCGTCAGGGTGTGTGTGCTGGTGGCTCGGCCCAGCACTGGGGCCAGCCTGGCGCTCAGGGAGGCTGCCGGCTTGGCCTGGCCCGGCCCAGCTTGTCCCAGTGCTCATGGGGGTTGGCGGCTCGTCCCGGAGCTTGGGGAGGCTGCTGACTTGACCGGGCATTGGGGCCAACCCGACTCTGGCGGCACTGGGGCCACGCTGGTGCTCTGGGGGGCTGGCGGCTTGGCCGTGCACTGGGGCCAGCCTGGCACTCGGTGAGGCTGCTGGTTTGGCCTGGCCTGGCTCGGCTTGGCCCAGTGCTTGTGGGGCTGGCGGTTCGGCCGGGCGCTAGGGCCAGCCAAACTTTGGCGGCACTGGGGCCGGCATCTCAGTCTGGTGCTGGTGGGGAACACAGTGGGTCAGGGTGGGCCGGGGCTTCTTGGGTCTTTTTTCTTTTATGGGGGGGAGGGGTTGTTTGGGGCTCCAGCGTGCGGGGGACGGGGCCATGGGTGGAAAGGGCGGGGCCAGCGGGTCTCCCCAAAGTGGGGGTTCACCCGCCGCCCATGGCTGTCAGCCACCAAATCACACTGAAGAGAAAAAACTGATACACACACACACAGCCTGGGAGCTTGCTGGGGCAATGCCAGTCCCTCTCTTAGTACAATGATCCTGATTAGGACGTCCAGGCACCACTGCATACAGATAACAGCAGTGCTGCCGACTCTGGGCTTCTGTACACTTAAAACGCAACAGTGGCACAGCCGCAGTGCTGTAGTGCTTCCATGTAGACATGGCCTATCTAGATCCCTTCCAGTCGGTGTAGTTAATCTCCCTTTGTCCCCCGAGAGGCAGTAGCTTGGGCGACAGAAGAATGCTGTCTACATCTGGGGTTAAATTGGCTTAACTATGCCACTCGCATGTGGATTTTTCACAGCCCTGAGTGATATAGCTGGGTCGACCTGACTTTTTCGTGTAGACCAGGCCTCTCGCAATTTTATCACAACTGTCATGATTTGGGGACTTTTCTTTCAGCCTCTGTAACCTTTGTGTGGGCTAAAGCAGCAGTTCTCAACCAGGGGTCTGAGGCCTCCTGTGGGTCCACAAGCAGGTTTCAGGGGGTCTGCCAAACAGGGCTGACATTAGACTCATTGGGGCGCAGGGCAGAAAGTCCGCGCTGCCCTGACCTCAGCATCCGGGGCTGAAGCCAAAGCAGTTTAGCTTTGCGGGGCCCCCCGTGGTGTGGGGGCCCCATGCAGTTGCCCTGCTTGCGTCCCCCTAATGCCAGCCCTGGCTTTTATATGCAGAAAAACAATTGTTGTGGCACAGGTGGGCTGGGGAGTTTTTATAGCATGTTGGGGGGTGGGGAGGGGAGGCCTCAGGAAGGAAAAAGGTTGAGAACCCCTGGGCTAGAGTTTAGTTCATTGCCCTTCTCCAGAGCCTAAAGAAAAACCACCTCTCATAGAAAAGCACCTGGAAACCCAGAATTCAGTCACTAAGGATTTTCAGCAAGAATTGCGTATGGTCAACCTCCCCCCATTCAAGTCGAAAATGAACAAAAGGAATTAACAATTTTTAAATACCAACTTTATAAAAAAATAAAGAAACAATAATAAATAATAATATAATCACTTATAATTATAGTTATAATTACTGTAACTTAATTTCTACAACATAACATGGCTACTTTATAACCCACATACTGTTGGGATTGACAATTTTGTAATAAATATATCACTACCTTAGATTACTCAAACTGCAAGAAACTGTAAAAGAGTCTAACTTCCTATTCATGCTATTTACTTTCTCTTTGCATTTCAGTTCAGATAATAAGAAAAGACTAGTCAGTTACACATTAGTAACAAATCAGTTTCAAGCCAATTGCTTCTTCAGGTTTTCAATTCCCTAGACACCAGTTCTGGTTGCAAATACTGAAGGAGCTGGTTTATTTGCTTATAAGTACCCTCCCAAAAAACCTGTTTCCACTGGAATTTTAAAAGACAATTTTTTTTCTGTTGATATTTTGTAAAACAATATTTAAAACCCCACAAAACCTAACAATATTAGAGGCAGGAATTGATCTAACAGCATCACTATAAATGATCAGGGAATAAAACTATATGTATAGTGCCTAAAGTAATGAGACATCCCATTGTGGCTGGTGCCTCTAGATGCTACCGTAATAATAATAATAATAATAATAAATAAAACTGAATTAATATGGAATTAATGCTAATGTTTAAAATCAAATTTACACAAGTTAAGAAGGAAGGTACTGTACATCTGGGGTCAGGCTTGAGTTATGAGAGATTACAAGTATTGGTTACAAGGTTCACAAGATACATACAGTACAATTCAATTCATTAATTTAAATTAATAAATAAATTAATAAATTAATTTTAAAAACAGAATTAATAAAACTGAATTAATATGGAATTGCTGAGCTCCCATAAATAGTTATGCTCCTACTGCATGTAGTACCTACAAGCATTTAGTTCTAAACCAGTAACTGCTGGCTAGGGATTAGATTTCAACCAAATAAAAATCAGTGATGGCCCGCTCTCCGGTTTGATTCACCATCCTGACAGGTTTGTCGTTCAGTTTTGAGGTACTGAGGAACCAGCCTGGATGGGCAGCTGATTCAAAGCTGCAAGTGGAACCAGAAATGGTCTTGAAAAAGATGAAACACTCCTGATCCTTGGTCCTGATGTCTTTCATAGGCCCCTTCACCTTCTGTGAGAAATAAGAGAGGCCAGTTAGAAACAGGGATGCTCTTTGGAAGGCTTTCATCCTGCAATGGGATGAATATGAGAAGGGGCTTCTAATTAGGACACAGAGCTAGTGTCCACTCTCATTTGTGCCTGTGCAACTGTTATGTGGGTATCTATCCCTGAGCAGAATTTGCTCCAAGGAAGCACTGAGCTTGACTCTCCCCTGCCTTCCACTTTGGGCTGTCATTTACACCAGTGAAAAGTGGGTGTGAAATGCTGGCCCTCTGAGGGTAGTGAAAACATCTGGTGCACATAGACAGGAGAATCTGGCCCAGACACCACAGGTGTTTCATACACCTGAGAAAGACTGTCCACCAAACAAGGAACCTATTCCTGCTCCTATTGAATGGGATTTCAATGTAAGAGGGATCAGGCCCAACGGTAGACAATAACTACATGGAAGCTGCAAAAGCATGGCTGCAGTTTTAATCCTTGATCACTAACGATACGTTTTCACTGCAGCTGGGAGCAAGCCCACCAGTACGGTAGATAGGCTTGCACTAGCTCTGCTCAAACTACCACTTTAAAAATAACTGTGTGGACATGGCAGCACCTCAGAGACTTGGGCTAGCCACTGTTGAGATGAGTTCCTGTCTGCATCCTGTAAAACTTGCCCATACCGGTATTGCCCTGGCCTCTTCTTAT